ACCTCGCCAGCATTTGTTGCTTGCTGTTCTGTCAAATTTTGCTATTTTGACTGGGGTGAAATGATATCTCATAGTTGTTTTAAAATCTTCAAATCTTAAACCAAAAATATCCCGAGGTCTTCTTAAAACCAAACAGTAGTTTTAGTTTAACTAGTTAGAAAAGGTCGGCCTTGAGCATTATGCTATTTAACGATTACTTGTGGGGGATCAGATTGACAACAAATACTTGAGAAATTAGATCCGAACTTTAGAAGACAGTGAGTTTATGTTAATGAGAGAGGAACAATGCAGAAAAGGAGAGGAAAAAGAACTGTACAACTTGGAAGAATATCATCATCACTAAATGGGATATGGAGGAACTGTTGAATGGGTGTATGTCTTGCTGTGTACATTCTCAACAACAACCAGTTAAATACAATTTAGAAAGAAAACAATGTTGCTTGCCACTGCACAGAGCTGACTCATAGCTGACCCTCCAGAGTGTTTTCAGAGGCTATAAATCACAGAGGAGAGGTTGCCCATCCTTCTCCCATGCACCTGCTTGTGGATTCGAACAGACTGCCTTTGGTTGGTAGTGTATCTCCTTATCACTAGGCCACCAGAGCTCCCTAAAAATCACGAAAAAGCTCCCTAAAAGCATTTTTAAAAAGTTCATCCTGCTCAAAGAACGACTGCTCTGAATTTTATGCTCTTTTAAGCTCTGTCTATAAGGGATCATCACACTGATAACAGTAACAAATAAAATGAATGCTAAAAAGAAAACCTGGGCGGGAGCTCTGGTGACCTAGTGTCAAGAAGCTGCACTGCAATCCCAGAGGCACAAGGTTCAAATCTACCAGATGTTCTGCTGGAGAAGGAGGGGAAATCTCTTCTTGTATGAGTCAGATCTGATTTGAGGGTTCACGCACCAAAAAACAAAACAACAAAAAAAAGAAAACCTGGGCATAGTTCTGTCTGGCAGAGATGGAGTTGATAGTGACTTGGTGACAACTCCTTTACTGGTTACCTTGGTGAGAATAACTTAAGAGTTAAAGTAACTTTAAAAGTTAAAGTAACTTACATTTCTTTTCAGATCAAGGACTGACCAGGACTGATTCATCCCTTCCTCCAAGCTCACTGAGTGGCCTATAGAGGGCAGCAGATGAACATCTCTGCCTTCTCATCTCTGAACTGAACCGAGAGTTTGGGTCTGATGAGATTGGCCCCTGAAGACTTTCTCAAGAACGCAGCTGCATCCGTTTCCTTTTTATCTGACCTGGCAGCAGAATTGGCCATGGCACTTCGGAGGCCAGAATGACCACCCAGAGGGCTTTACCACACTGGTAGTTAGGGTAGAAGGAAAACAACTTAATTTCTAATAGCAAAAAAGGTGAAATGTCTTTAACAAATCCATTTTGATGTTTTGGGTGGTTTTTTGTTTTTTTTAAATAAGCAATGACATGAATGAACTTTTAATGAATCAAGAAATAAAGGCATTTTTTAAAAAAAAAACAGTACAAAAAACCCAAAACAAAACAAAACAAAAACAGTACACAGGGTGTATGGCCTGCACATTTATGTTTTAATCGCTGAAAGAAAGTGAGGCTTTACAGCAGTTCTCTAAGGCTCCCTCCCTGGTTTCAGCTACTAGAATGAGACTTCAGCCTTGATCTTACAGGTTTGAGAGGAAGTAGTGAATTCCTGAGTGGGCCCTTACACTTTGTTACTGCCGAAGAAAGCGGCAAGACTTGTCTTGATTGCTCTGTTAAGCAGAAACAATCATTGTTCTGGGACACAGCTTTTGCACCGTCTCATCAGAAGCAGAGGCGGATGAAAGAATGACTGCCTATTCCAGGCAGCCTTTTGTCTAAAATGAGGGCACGCAGGACGTGGTCATCCTGTAACTGCCCAGGAAGAAAATGCCACTTCACTGAGGGAATCCAAGACCATGACAGCACAATGAACCTTTTACATCCGCACAGCTGTATGCTTGTTCGGAGGTGCTAATTAATTCTGTTAATAGTTTAGGGTGATTGTAAGTTTGCCTTCTAGCCTTTTTTCTTTGTCTTTTCTTTTTCTTTCTTTTTTTTTT